TTTGCCCCTTTTTGTGTTCTTCAAGGCTCTTATCTCCTCCTGGTTTCCTCTTGGTTGCACAAAATGTTATTTATGTTTTGGACTGGTTTCCAAAGGAACTGGAGCACAATTGTGTGGTTATGTAAGGAGAGCAGGATATGACGAGGTCACCTCCCATCCATCACTCTCCTTGCACTCACTGCTCTCCACAGCCGTATTGCAGATGGCTCAGACCACACAGATCCTGCCCCGTCAGCTATGCAGTGTTGCCACCATAATGTTCCATTTATCCCCACCTGCAGGGTAAAAAGCAGCCTCCTCTCACCAGCAAATGGCTCATCTTAGTTCTGATGATAGTGCTCCATGGCAGCTTTAAGTTCTCTCAATTCAAAACAGACCTTCAGTCTTGATACCCGAGATGGGTTACAATAAGACACCAGACCGGAATCTGACTTAAGCAGTGTTGTGTCCTTAAAACATTTACTGTGTAATTAGACACTGAAACGGATCTTTCACAGCATGCGAGCCACACCAGCATCCATAAGCTAGATTGATCCATAATAATCCATGTTTGTTATGGCCTGCAGAAATGGATTTCACAGATGTTTACTAACTACAAGCATTAATGTCTAATGTGTTTGGTTTCAAAACCTAATGAGCTGCCTATCTAGAGAGCATTTAGGTGTCATCGCCATGCTCAAAACGCAAAGACTTTTCCAAACAAGTCAGCAAATATATACTGCCTTCATATCTATCTTTGGATGAGGCCATTGCAGAATACATTGGACTGTTGATTTATGTATTATGCGATTTAAGTCTGTGAATCAGGTGAGGACTGATAAGTAAGTGACTTAACAGACCCACAAAGAGCGTTTCATATCAGTGTTTGGTTCCATTATGTTAGGATCATAGACTGTAAAAACATGGACGTAGTGTCCGTGACGTCACCCGTAGGTTTCTGAAGAGCATTTTTGAAGCCTAAAGTAGGCAGAGCCGGCTGTCGCCATCTTGGCAGTGCGTCACCGCACGTCACTCCCGGATAATCGAAAGTTGCCGCTTAGTTAGGATGTTAGGATGTTATCTGTATCGTTGTTGGCAGCTCACTAGGGTTCAGAAAGGGCTTACGATGTCTTGTTTGTATGTGATGCATCGTGTTTGTTATTATCTCTTTAGCAAGTGAAAGAAGAGCATCAAGAATACCAAAGATGGCCCCTGTCCATTTAGACATTTCCTTCACCAATAGCTTCGCCAGAGGAGGTGAGTGGGCCTCTATTCTTCATTTCCGTCGACTCCAGGGAGATATTTAACATCAAACCAATTCCCCATCTTTCATCTGATATCGTTAGTCAACTGTCTTCTGTCTTGATATCTCATTATCTGTGTTCTGTCACAGACCACAACTCTTCCCACACACATATACACGCTCATGCTGCTTCGACTTTGGCCCGCTCTTTCATTTTTTGCAGTGATGGTTCTGCTGAACTTGCAGATATTTGTCACCACAATTCTCCAAAGTACAGTGTTTCGTAAAATCCAAAAAGCTAGCCATGTAGATGCATTCAGAACACCCATTGTGAATGATTTTTTTTAACTTACAGTGGTGCAGAAGTATTCACCTCCCTAGATAGGTCAATATCTGCACACTATCTTTGAATATGATATTACATGCAGGAAGTTGAAAGGTCTTTACTGTGAAAACAGCGTGTGCTTTATTGTACATCACGGGAAGGGTATTGTATAGATCCAATTTAGATTCAGATTTTCGCATCTTGTGAATTCAAGCTCCCCCATTACTAAAACCTCACCTCAGATCAAAGAGACATGTAGGGTAATGTACATTTATGACAGGATTTTGTTAAGTGATATTCTGTCATTTATTCACCCTCAAATAGAGAGTCATAAGGGTTTGAAACAAGCGTGTGTGTAATGGAAGACAGAATTTTCAGTGTTGGTTAAACTAGTCTTTTTTTTTTTTTTTAAACCCCATTATATAATCTTGTTATTGTATTTGTCTATTATGTCTTGTTTTGAACATCATGTCTCAGTATAAAACATGTTATGCCAGGTCATGATGGGTTGAGTTCTTGGAAAAGGGCTCATGGTTTTAACAGGGATTGGTTAAAAGATGCAAGTCCCAGTTGATGGGTCTAAGGTGACGTCATGATTTAGTGATGTTTCTCGTCATATTTCTCTAAATCTGGGGTATAGATAGCAGCTGCTGAAGACTCATGTCTTTGCTGTTTTGCACTGAAATTAGACAGGTCTTTATCTCACCACAGCCAAATATACTCCAGCAGGTGCAGGCTAAGACATTTCCCATCATGTGCTCTTCACAGAAATGTGGAACTGATTTTTCACTTCCTCATTTTTAGTAACATTATTTTTGTCATTAGTGGTATTAACATCAACATTAATATTGTTCATACTTACGGTAAGGGATTTGAAAAAACAACTAATCGATTTTAATCCATCTTTATTTTGGTGAAGTGATATAAATTCTTAAATTCCAAAATCGATCTTTTAGACTATGCTGTTTTCTGTCAATCTGTGAACAGTAAGCTTTGTGCTCTGTTACTTTTGATATGAAACAAAGCATCAGCTTTGAAATTCTGTCAATTTTATCACGTAATTCAAACAGTAAATACCAGTTTGATGCTCTTTAATGTGTTGTGACAGACTGCATTAGACACTTCAGTTCAAGTGGCAGTGTGGAGTGCACTTAAACCGATCGCCTCTTACTCTTTACAACTAGTTATAGCACGAAATGTTAACATGAATGAATGTCAGAAGTTACTTTGAAAGAAACAGTTCAACTTAATGAAAAGTCTCCTATAATCACTCAGTAAGTGTTTGCTTTGGACTTGTAAATTAGATGTTCATTTTGACCTTTAAAATTATAGTAATGCACCAACTGACAAGGTTCTCTGTATAGTTTACAACATACAGTGGGTACGGAAAGTATTCAGACCCCCCTCAATTTTTCACTCTTTGTTATATTGCAGCCATTTGCTAAAATCATTTAAGTTAATTTTTTTTCCTCATTAATGTACACACAGCACCCCATATTGACAGAAAAACACAGAATTGTTGACATTTTTGCAGATTTATTAAAAAAGAAAAACTGAAATATCACATGGTCCTAAGTATTCAGACCCTTTGCTGTGACACTCATATATTTAACTCAGGTGCTGTCCATTTCTTCTGATCAGCCTTGAGATGGTTCTACACCTTCATTTGAGTCCAGCTGTGTTTGATTATACTGATTGGACTTGATTAGGAAAGCCACACACCTGTCTATATAAGACCTTACAGCTCACAGTGCATGTCAGAGCAAATGAGAATCATGAGGTCAAGCGCAGTTTATGGAGGACTGTTTCGTAGACCTGAGAGAGTAGACTACTGACTCACAGACTGTAAATACGTTTTCATATTTAAAAGATTTGCCACTGACGATTCAAAGGTGAGTTTTGGGCAGTGTAGAGTAGCGCTTGTTGTTTGTCATTTCTCCGATCACAAATGCAGACAAGGTTTTATGTTTACGCAGCGCGATGCAACACAACGCGTAAAAAGACAGTATAAGTCATTATAATCTGTAATTATGTCCCCACTGGATGCAACAAATGCCTCGTTTATATTGGGTTTTAATGTTTTTGTCTCGTCGCTTTGGCCGGGACACGGCATCACAGTATGGTAAGGGGCGTAACATTTCCGTCACATGCGGTATTCGGGCCAATCACAACGCACTGGATAGCTGGACAATCACAGCACACCTCGCTTTTCAGACCGATGAGCTTTGTAAAAA